AAAAAAAAATGCATATATCAGTCACCTGGGTCACCTGCTGAGAAAGAAAAAAGAAAACAAGCAGAAGAGAACAAGAGTAATAGAATAAACAACATCACAAAGATATATGGGAATATGACAGTAAAGTGTGTTTGCCCAGATGGGTTAATGGCGGGCCCTGGATGGGCCCCAAATCAGGCCCAGCCAATAAACAAGTGTGGGACCCAGATGGGTAGAAGCGGGTCTGATATTTGGGGCCCACCTGGGTTACCCACCTGGGACCCAGCTACTTTTTCCTCAGTTTCCATGGTGGCCCCAAATATGTTTGCCCAGATGGGTTAATGATGGGCCCCAAATCAGATCCAACCAAAAAAACATGTGTGGGGCCCATATGCATAGAAGCGGGTCTGATATTTGGGGCCCCCCCGGGTTACCCACCTGGGACCCAGCTACTTTTGTCCTCAGTTTCCATGGTGACCCCAAATGTGTTTGCCCAGATGGGTTAATAATGGGCCCCAAACCAGATCCAATCAAAAAAACATGTGTGGGGCCCATATGCATAGAAGCGGGTCTGATATTTGGGGCCCACCTGGGTTACCCACCTGGGACCCAGCTATTTTTGTCCTCTATTTCCATGGTGGCCCCAAGCGTGCTTGCCCAGATGGGATTTTGGATAATACAGTAAGCTAAAATTTAAATCACCTGTACAACAAAGTCAGTTTATCTTTTTTATTAATACTGATTAATATGAAATTTTAAAACAGTATGCAGTATAACAGTAATTTTTTATATACTATACAAATAATTTTTTTTGTTTAGAGAACATGTTGACAAAAAAGGTCCCTAGTATACACAAAACAATAACAAATCAATGTTATACAGTTTAAAAGAAAAAGAAATGCACTGAAACACAGCTTCTCACTCATTCACTGATCCATTGGTCCTGAAAAAAAGTGCACTTTTTCACAAATAACATCAGATTTGCAATACTACTGGAGTTGTTTTGAAAGTTGTGCTGAACAAGTTGTTTGACCTCCTACATTGAAATCAAATTAAAAGACATCTACATAGTTACATTGATAAGTGTTGTGGGGTGTCTCAGTGATGGACAAAGCTTAGAACAGGCACGTGGTTAACCAGTTGCATGGTGCAGAAACAATCACCTCATAGTAAACACAAAACAGAATGGATGATTGTGGATTTCAGGGGGAACAGGAGTAAACAAAGCACGGTTTACATGCTGAGAGACGAGGGAGAAGACTGGAAATGTAACAACGACTACATCTACCAAGGAGAGAACAGATTCTACTTCTTGAGGTGTGTGCCGGATGGGCACCGAAGATTTTCATGTAAAACAAAAATAGGGCCATCAGATAAGGTTTGGGAACTACTACTTTAATGTCTGCACCAAGATGTGGAATATCTTCTACAAGTCTCTTGTGGAAATTCCAATCTGCTTCCCAGCCATTTGTTAGGGCAGCAGTATCAGAGTCTGTGAGTTTGAAGTCACACTGGTGACACACTGGTAAAGAAGGCTGGCGCTGGAGTTCCTGGAGCTGATTGTGCAAAGAAGAATATTGCACAAACTGCTAAACATAACTGGAAATTGTTCACATACCGTAACACAGTGAGGAACCAAAAAATGGTTTAGTGAGAGCTGTCTTCAAGTATGCTGCAAACCAGAGAGAAATATGTGGTCATTCCTGGCAGCAGCCATCACCCTCCAGAACAACATGAGCTGATGCCCCCCCCCCCATAAAAAACCCAAACATAATTTCCCTCAATAATACAGTATTTGTAATTAATTTCATCTCCACAGTCTATCTAAACCGAGTCACTAAGGTATACCTCTCCTGCATGCGACACTGTGCCCTTGCCATGCGATTTCCTCCTCTATCTCTTGCACCAATAAACCACTTGGATGCTGCCTTTTCTGCCTCTTTTCTGGTAATCTGGCTTGTAAGAGCATTTTTTTTCAAGCTGCCTGTAAAGCACAGATATTGACCACAAGAAAGTGAGACTATATTACTGAATCTAAAGACACAGCTGTAATTCTCTTTTTTTGTTACATACTTATATTTATACTGTGACACGGCATAAGATCTCACATAAATGTAGAACCAAAGTATAAAAACCTTAAATCAGTGATTAAATTGATTGGAAGACTGACTACAGCTGAAATGAGCATCTGTTATTCAAACATCAACAAAATATCTTACAACTAATGAGCTTACCATATAGCACTTCGAAAATTTTAAGCCCTCGAAATTCCCGCTTTCCATGGCGCCCAACGAAGTTATATTGCCTGGAAAGAGCATTGTCCATAATGAAGGCCATCATTCTTCTGGTGGCTTCATCAACAGTGCTCCCTCCGATCTCTGCCACAACAGCAACCTTAGGACACACAAGGACAATAATTTTACCGACAGTAGTACCATCAGTCACACCTAAAAGAAAACCTGCACAGCTACACA